CTGCCCCGCCGCGCGCTGCGCGGAGGCTCCGGCGCCCGCCTCTGCGCCCTCCAGCCAGCTCCTCCCGCTGGTCCGCGTGGGTCCCGGCAGGCGCGACCCCACCATGCAGCTGCAGTTCCGGAGCTGGATGCTGGCAGCGCTCACGCTGCTCGTGGTCTTTCTCATCTTCGCAGACATCTCGGAGATCGAAGAAGAAATCAGGTAAATAGCTGCGCCCGGGCCCCTGCCTGTGGTGGCGGGATCTCTCCCCCCTCCCATTCTGGTACCCCACCCCCGCTTTGTGTGCGCCGCGCCCCCCTGTCGCTCCACTGGGGAGGTGGAGCACGGTCTGAGTCGAGGGTTGCGGTCCAGGGGGCCCGGGACGGTTTGGGGAGAGGAGGATGGGGGCGCGGCTGCCCGTGAGGTGTCCCCGCGCGAGGGGCACGGCAGCCCCCAACTGGACCGCGACGGGGAGCGGACTCGCCCACCTCGCTCCTTCCCTGGCGGGTTCGCGCGCAGTGTCATCGGGGTCCAGGGAGGGCGCCGGGGAGTGTCAGGGGCGGGCGGAGGGGCCGAGAGTGGAGGAGGCAGGAGTTTCTTTGTCTCCGGCTCGGCCGCTTTCTCGCCTTGGCAAAGTGGGCAGGGGGCGCGCGGGGATCTCTGAGCAGGGGAGGAGATCCCGGAGCAGGAGTGGAGAACTGGGGCTCTCCGAGGGTTCCCGGAAAGGGGAGTGTCCCCTCTGTACACACAGAAACGCACACGCGCCTCGCACTGGTCCCGGAGCCCAACGTTGGGGTGCAGGTTGGCACCACTAGAGGCGGGGCCCGTGGGGCGGGGCTGAGATCCCCGCCCTCGCCTGCCTTTGGATGTACAGTCAACCCTGTCGCCTCTACACTCCTGCTTGCAACCCGAGGATTGAGACATTTCGTGGAAGTCGGTACAACTGCCCCGCGGGCTTCTGTGCCCCTGACGCGGGGTCTCGCCCTCGCTTTTCTCCAGATCTCTGCAAGGGGATCTTCTGGGGGCATCCCGGCGCCCAGCGGCTAGAGGTGAGGCAAGACCTCAACTGCCATTTGGCAGGGGCTTCCAGGAGCGCGCACTTGAGGTGCAAGACACACCTGTGGTGGGTACAGGAGGTTGGGGCTTGCATCCAGCCGGCCAGCCGCCTCCCTGTCCCCCACACTGGGCCCAGCCCCGCTGCTTCGATGCCACAAAGCCACCAAAGGGCGGTGGGCGGGTGGGAAGGCACCTAGGATTCCGAGAGTCCCTGAGAAGAGCCTCCTGACCCAATGCCAGTGAGGTGAGATCAGAGTGCGCCATTCCCTTCTTGGGGCTAGTGCTGAGCGAGGCGCCCTCTGCAAGGCCGGTGCAGCTTGAGCCTCTCCTTTGTCCCATTTGCTATTCCATTCATTATCAGCACTAGTTGAGGGGCCTTTATACTGCCAGGTCCCTCAAATGGTAGATGCCAGTCCAGACCCAGGATACCTTGGCCCTAAAGACCCACACCTGGGGCAGGCACCAATTCCTGCTCTCTTGCCCTTGCCCATTTCTGCAACCCCAGAATTCCTTCTCTGAACTCCTCCTCTCTTCAAGAACCCCTCTCTCTGAGGCTGCCTCCTTGCTGTCCTCAGGAACTTGGTTTCCCCCAGAGCTTGAAAACTTTCCCAAATGCAGTTAATAGAGGATGTGCCACTAATTCCAATGAGGAGAAGGAAAAACACCCTACTCTCCCGTTTGCCTCAAAAACATGGGTAGGAAAAGAAATTGGACAAGTTAAGCCTTGAGATGATGGAAGAGGCAGTGAGTGGGAAACCCCTAGGCTGCCTCCTGTCTTCTCCCAGATGTGGGCTCTCCCTGGTCTGGGCACTTGCTGACCTTTACCAATGTGATAGGGAAGGATCCACAACTGCCCATTGTTCTGTTATAAAAACAACACTCATTCATGCATCCTCTAGTACATCCGTTCATGAACTTTTACTGAATACATTCTATATACTAAGGACTTTAATTTTTCAAATGGAATTAGGAAATCACTTTGCATATAATGCTACACTGCCCTGCCAAATGCACTTTAAACCTCTACGTCCCACATCAGGTTGTTCCAACAAGGTATCTAGGAATAAGCTTCAAAGCCTATGCTAGGAATAATATATGTATACACACATACACACACACACACGCACACACACACACACCACAAACCCCAGGGCATTTCTGCTGTGGGCCTGTTTTACTTGGGAGTTCCTGCTTTATATCCTGTCCCTGCCTGGGCTGACCCTGGGTAAAATAGCCAAACAAGTCAAATGTATTATCTTCTGTAATTTATTCCTTCAATTTGGTACCCCTTGTCCTCATGTTAAGGAGCTGTAATGGTGTGGTGGTTAAAGCAGTTGGCTGCTAACCAAAAGGTCAGTGGTTCAAACCCACCAGCCACTCCATGGAAGAAAAATAAGACATTCTGCTTCCATAAAGATTTACAGCCTTGGAAACCCAGTGGGAGCCACTATGAGTCAAAATCAACTCGATGGCTGTGGTTTGGTTTAGTTTTGGTCCCCATGTTGACCTCTGGCTTGACTAGTTATGACCCAGGCCGGAGACCCACCTCCAGTGAGATGTGACAGCCCTGGACCAGAATTCTAGTCTCACCCACAATCTGACCCACACATATTTAATCTCAAGGAATGAAGGCATGTCTGGGGATTTACCATGCCTAGGCAAGGAAAAGACTTGGGGCAGAGGATGGGAATCCCAACAACCCCTTATTTCTGTTTACACCTTCACTTACTTAATTCCTGTACCATCTCAAGTTTGAGCAGCTGGGGCTCAGCACAAATGAGTGCCTGGCACAGTGGCTTCAAATCATATTCCAGTTCATGGTGCTATTGCACCAGCCCTGTGCACCCTGACCGAACTTGATCTTGGCTTGTGCTAGAGATGATTGAGAATTCCCTTCCATTGTCAGTCCCAGGAGAAACAATGTGTCCCGGAAAGTAATGGCTGATTCTGGGAGGCAGTAAACAGTGGGACCCTGTGATCTGTTAGAGAGAGAAGGAAGGCAAAAAGGAAATATGGAAGGAAGGAGAAAGAGAGGGAGAGGGAGAGAAAAAAAAAGAAAGAGGTGGGGAGGGAACCTCTCTTTGGGGTAATTTTTCCAAGAATTAAGAATGAAGAGTGGATGAGGAAAGAGAATTACACATGTATTGTCTGGTGGAACAAAATCTGAGAATCCCTTTCCTGAAGCTCTGTATTCTCTTTCCTGCAAAATGAGAACTTTGATGGGGTCTCAGCAATCCTGTCCTGCCTGAGGAATCCTCTAATGTATTTGTAAGAGAAAGGGCTTTCATCAACAGGCTTTTTCTGAGAGATACCCATCTCTTTACTTGTTAAGTGATGATTTTCAAAGTTCTTTTTCTCACTCAGTGGCTTGTGGAAATGCCTCTGTGGGTAGACGGGAATGTAGAAAGATGAGGTCCTTGCAAAGCACCCACCCAAACAGTCTTGCCCAGCAACCAGGGAGTGAATTCAGGGATGGGGTGAGGCTCCTGGTAAAACAACCTCTGATCAACTCAGGCAGCTCTCTTAAGTTTTGGAGACCAAATTGTAAATTAAAATCCTCTTCTGGTTGTCTGCTGGGCTTTAGTCTTGACTGTAACTTCCATGAGAATAGAGGTCATGGCTTCTCTGCCCACCATGGAGTTCTCAAACCTAGGTATACAATGCATTCAATAAATGTTGTTGTATGATTATCCATCACTAACTAGTGATATGCACACAGACTTTGGGGAAGGCAGAGACCCCTAGAGCATGGGTAGGGATCGTAGGGCTTCTCTTACACAAACAATCACTTTTTATTGACTAGGGATCTTTGCTGTGGAGCCCTGGTGGCACAGTCGAACCTACCAGCCACTCCATGGGATAAAGATGAGGCAGTCTGCTTCTGTAAAGATGTACAAACTTGGAAATCCTATGGAGCAGTTCTACTCTGTCGTATAGGGTCACTATGAGTTGGAATTGACACAGTGGCAACAGATTTTTTATTTTTTTAGAGAGCTTTGAGCCCGAGACGTAAGATCACTTATCTAGGGTCACATGCTGGCTCACCGAGGACAGGACAGGACTGCGCAGATCTCCTCACCTATAACCCAGTTCCTCCTAAAGTGAGTTCCTCTGATCATAAAGGAGCTATAGAGCTCTGGTTAAAGGGGGGTAAGTAACTAGCAATAACAACAGTCATTGTGATGATGATGGAGATGAAGATGATGGTGAGCCTTAGCATTTATTGAGCATTTGTTATGATCGAGGAGCTGCTCCAAGTGCTTTATAGACAGCACATTTCATCCACCTGATAACCCAATGGTTACCTTGTGCCCCTCTAACAGAAGATATCATAAATGGGATGGCTTTAACAAACAGGAGTTTATTCTCTGACAGTTTGGAGGCTTTATGTCTGAGTTCAAAGTGCCAGGCTCTAGGGGCTGGGTGAAAGCCCCTCAACCTTGGGCTTCAGCTCTGCCTCCTGCTACCGGCCCACTGAAGCTGGAGGCTTTCTTCATTCAAACAGTTGCTGGCTACTGAAGCTGATAAACCCAAGGTCAACAGGTAAAAAGGCCCAATCCCAATGTTACCAAACAACACAGCAGGCCATTGATTCAAGTCCATTGAAAGTCCCAAGATTGGCACTGCTGAGCAACGACTTGGCTACATGCAGGGTTCAAGTGTGCCATAAGCTAGAGACCATTCCCAAAGCTGCTGCTTATATAGGGGTAGCAGACCACATCACTAAAGCAGCTACTCAGCTGCTTGTGATAGATCCCACTCTGGAGTTGATTGCCAGTCTTATCATGGGGAATAACTACCACCAGCTGGCTGCCCAGCCACTCAACCAGGCCCAGCCAAGTTGACACACAACCTTAACTACCACACCTACCAACAACACTAAGAACTACAGTATGTTGAGCTCTGGGTACCAGGCACTATGCTAACTGCTTGACAGCTCTAGTTCACTGAATCTTCATCAAACCCCCTAAGCTAGGTACTGTTACTGTCTCTGTTTTATCGACAAGGAAACTGAGGCACAAGGTAGTTATGTAACTTGCTAGGGATAAAGCAGATGCTTAACCTTGGTTCTATGGGAGGCCAAGCTCATGCTCTTGACTACCACGTTAGACTGCTCTGCTCTCTGAATTATTTTCCCCATCTGGGAATATTATGAAATAGGTCTC